GCTCTTCAGTCTGCCAGCTGCTGTTTAGAGCATGGACCCAGACTCACAAATCTCTGAAATATTAAAAAGAAAACCCTTGGTGAATGTGGATTCTGTTTTGTAGAGCAAAAAGCTTTTCCTATGAGATGTCATTCTTATTGTATGTGCCTCCTGGAGTTACTGTGTTGAATAGTGTCTCTGGCAGGAACCATTTGACTCATCCTGTGTATATTTTATAGGCCACAGGATTATAAGGGAGACATATAGTTAGACAAAATTTTTCTTCCATTGCTGCAGTCAACATGAAACCAGAGATAGAGGTTTGAATTAGTGAGATGTGGATTTCAGAGAGCTCAGGTTTATTTTAGGATTACAATATAGCTAAGAACATCTAGATTTCACATTCCCCTGTGGTACTGGGGGATGTGTTCTCCACTGCCTTGTTTTGCCTTGTCACTGTAGAGAAAAAAAGCACAGCACTTTCCTTTAGGGTTCCTCTACTTGTGTTATTTTTCTGGCTTCTTCTCGTCCATATACTGTGTGTGTTAAACAGCATTTATGGAAAGGGTTAATCATGCCCTCTGGTTGAAGGCCTGTATACCGAGCTTCTGGGTTTGGGTTTGTCTTGTAGTTGGTTGATTTGAGACTGAGGAGTGAGGACATGACAATTTGTTCCACATAGCGGAGCAGCAAATAATTATTTGGTCAGCTCAAGTTACTGTCCTACTGCAGTCTGCTGGAAGAAAGTACCTTGGAGTCTACAGGAAGGGAGAAAATGGAGGTAGAGCAAATGAGACCTTTTCCTTCCAGAAGTTCAGTGGCCCCTCTGGAGTAAGAGGTCTGAATAAACAAAAGCAACCCCCAAAGCATATGCTTCACTATACCACAGTATCATGATCCATCAAGTACTATGTGAAAAGGTGTCTGGTTTTTTTATTGCATCCTAGTACAGGTTGGGAGCAGCAACAAGAAGTCAGTCTCTTGATTAAGGGTTGGGTTACAAGAGCAATATTCTACAAAAGGACAGCTGACTTCCCTGGCATCTGACAATGTCACAAACAAGGATGTGAACTGACTGCTGGACTATGCTGTAATACTTGCTCTGGAGTGGCCTGTACACCATTATGTCTTTCCAACCATCCACCACTCTGTCTGGTGGACTGAAATAAGGAGACCCAGTTCTTTGCCAATTCTGAGTGAAGTGGCTCCACTGTTATTACAGATATCTCATTCCTAAAAGTACTGTTTCCCACTTGCAGCAATTCTTGGAATTGCACTGAAAACATGGACACACACCCAAGAGGAGTGGACCTTACACTGGACAAGAGCAGGAAGGGGTTAATGGACTGACTCTTGAAGCTGGCCTGTAACACCTTCTACTGCTATCAAGGCTGGAGGATATGAAAAAGGAGAAAGGAGACCCCAGAATAGGATTCCTGAAAGAGGGATTTTGAGTCTGAGGCAGTGAGGACCCAAGAAATGGCTTAACAGCTTGGAGCATGGAACTCTAGGAGCAACCGAGCTAGGGGAGAAAACTGGAGTCTGGACTTCATGCTGTCTGAGGCTATGTCTATCTGTAGAGTCTGGACTTCATGTTGTCTGTAGGCTATGTCTATCTTACAATGCTATAGCAGCACAGCTTCAGTGGAGACACTCACTACAGCGATGGGAGGGATTTTCCTGTCACTGAAGTTAATCCACCTCCCTGGGGAGGTCTGTCTACACTTAAAATACTACCGCGGCACAGCCAGAGTGCTCCAGTGTAGACACAACCTACGCCAACAGGAGAGCTTCTTCCATCGGCATAGGTAATCTGCCTTCCCGAGAGGTGGTAGCTAGGTTGCTGAAAGAATTCTTCCATTGACCTAGCACTGTCTACACTGAGGGTTAGGTCAGCATTGATACATCTCTCTGGGGTGTGGTACCGATGTAAGTTCCCAGTGTTGACCAGCCCTTATTGTTCATTTTATTTGTTAATAAAGTCAGACCTCATAAAGAGATGAATTTTGCCTCTACACAGAGTGCATGGCCAATGCAGTAGAGAAAATGGGGGGAGGGGGCGGGAGTAAGTTTATAAGATTTCACAAAATACCAGCTCTAGGGAAGAAACAATTACTGAAGCAGAGCCATTCGATCAACATGCATCAAATTCAGTACTCACGGGCTCCAGCCTAAGTCTGAACATCAATACTCCAGTTTATAGCCCTGCAGCCCAGCTGTGAATGTTTTATTGCAATGTAGACATACCCCACATTACTCTTACTCAGGGCAAGAATGCCAGTCTCTGAATTTCCTCTGAGTTGAAAGAGGCATCAGAAAGTTCAAGCAGAGCAGCGCAATTGCACCAGGAAGGCAAAGTGTTGTGAGTGTGCTATTTTTTTTTTTTTAATAATCAATACCACCATGCAATGCATCTACAGTGATTCAGTTCATTGCTGTTTTCTGTTGAACATATGAGTTTGTATCATCCATTTTGCTCTTGTCTGGCTGACGATGAGGCAGGTTGCATATGAAATATAAAGACCTATCTGGTTTGACAAGGTGAGTCATTTTAAGGATAATTAGCTGACTAATTCTCAGCTCTCTCCATTTGGAAAATAACAGGAAAGATGCCCAAGCGTCTATGATGGGAATCCTTTATGACATGTTATCATTAAACATTCAGAGGCCATGCATTTCACATTCTCTACTGCATGTTAGCCAGTCACCTCTTTGTATTCAGAAAAGTTTCCTCCTGGAAGCTGACATTTCAGTTTAGCCAAGTCAGAAGCAAACACAGATTTCAGTCTGCAGTCTAATTGGAATGCAATATTCTCCAAACTTCTCTAGCATTTTCCTGATGAACGGCTCCATGCTACCTTTCACCAAACTGGGCAGAGGTGGAGGGGGTTATAGAAGACAGAATTATCTGTGCTATATAACACCCTGCTCCCTGAGAAGTCCCAGAAGCCCTTCTACAGCCACTCCATAGGATTGCACATCTATTAATGTTATATATGCCATCATGTGCCAGCAATGCCCTCTGCCATGTACATTGGCCAAACTGGACAGTCCCTACTTAAAAGAATAAATGGACACAAATCGGACATCAGGAATAGTAACATACAAAAGCCAGTAGGAGAACATTTCAATCTTCCTGGACATTCTATAACAGATTTGAAAGTAGCTATACTTGAACAAAAAAACCTTCAGAAACAGACTTCAAAGAGAAAGAGCAGAACTAAAATTCATTTGCAAATTTAACACCATTAATTTGGGCCTGAATAGGGACTGGGAGTGGCTGGCTTATTACAAAAGCAGCTTTGCCTCTCCTGGAATTGACACCTCCTCATCTATTATTTGGAGTGGACTACATCCACCCTGATCGAATTGGCCCTGTTAACACTGGTTCTCCACTTGTGAGGTAGCTCCCTTCTCTTCATGTGTCAGTATATTTATGTCTGCATCCGTAATTTTCACTCCATGCATCTGAAGAAGTGGGGTTTTTACCCACGAAAGCTTACGCTCAAAGAAATCTGTTAGTCTTTAAGGTGCCACCAGACTCGTTGTTTTTGTGGATACAGACTAACACGGCTACCCCCTGATACTTGTCTCCATAGGATTAGGCTTCCGTTGCTGTGGGGGTGGGAAGCAGCATCTCTCCAGCAGGTATTCTGTCAGATATCCATGTCGGGCTTAATGCTGCTTCTCACTCCTAGTCACACTCAGGAATGGGAACCAATGTCAGCATAACTCCTAAAGGAGTCTTTGTCAAGAGGAAGGGGTGAATGGGCAGCACCATGGACAGACAGACGCACGCCAAAGGCATTCCTTCCTCTGGATATCCTGGGATGTGTAGGGTTTGGAGACCTCCCTAATGAGCCAGGAGAAAAGAAGGCTGAGGGGAACCTGAGAACAGTCTATAAGTATCTCAAGGGCTGTTATGAAGAGGCTGGTGATCAATTGTTCCCCATGTCCACTGAAAGTAGGACAAGTAATGGGCTTCATCTGCAGCAAGGGAAATTTAGGTTAGATATTAGGAAAAATGTATTACTAATAGGGTAGTTAAGCTCTGGAATAGGCTTCCAAGAAAGGTTGTGGATTCCCCTTCACTGGAGGTTTTAAAGAAGAGATTGACAAATGCCCATCAGGAATGGTCTCGGTTTACTTGGTCCTACCTCAGCACAGGGGACTGGACTTGATGATCTTTCAAGATCCCTTCCAGCCTGACATTTCTGTAAAATGCCTCCCTATCTCAAGTTAGAAGGGGATATCAGAGGTGAAGTGTAAATATATATTTATTTCTGGATCTCTTATTTCATCTCCTCATAGGAATATAGGTTTAAAAGAAAACACTTAACAGCTTAGTGGCCAGAATGGAGGGAGAAACTCATAATGTACGTGATAATTTATACTAAGAACATGTTATAATGATCAAGTTTTATTGTTCTTTAAGATAAATACTGACTTTGGATTTGTTTCTGTCAACAGTCTCTTTTTGGGTCAATAAATCATAGGACTGGAAGGGACCTTGAGAGGTCATCTAGTCCAGTCCCCTGCACTCATGGAAGGACTAAGTATTATCTAGACCATTCCTGACAGGCGTTTGTCTAACCTGCTCTTAAAAATCTCCAATGATGGAGATTCCACAATCTCCCTCGGCAATTTATTCCAGTGCTTAACCACCCTGACAGTTAGGAAATTTTTCCTCATGTCCAACCTAAACCTCCTTTGCTGCAATTTAAGCCCATTACTTCTTGTTGTATCCTCAGAGGTTAAGAAGAACAATTCTTCTCCCTCCTCCTTGTAACAACAAATCTTCTAGTTCACTTCAAAGGAAGTCCGTATCTGCTTATTATCCTGCACCACCTGAGCACAAGTATATTCCTTGGTGTGGGGGTTCTGCAGAAGTCCCTGTAGTAAGAACAGTTCTCTGTTGTACTGGTCACTGCTGAAGTTTAGTCTCTTTTACAGTAGCTTTTCTCTTGCATATTCATTTTGCCTCTATCGATTTTTACATCTTTTATTTATCTTCTCAACAGGCTCAGAGGAAGCATCGTCAACAGCTGCTACTCCATTATCTCCACCCACATCTACTAATGGTAGCACTCCAAGTATGTGCCTTTCTTGAAGCAAGGGCTGTAAATGTTAAAGTGATCATCATTGATAAGTACCTGATTCACGTTACATCCATAGTAACACAGACTTTTAAAAATGTCCATTTATTATTGTTTCATGTAAAAATACATATGATTCTAGATAGTGTGTAATGCAAAGTGAAAGATGGCCCTGATGTGTTCACTGGTGTGAAATTAGAGTGAAACAGTGGTAAGTTGGGCCATATATCTAATATCTATAAATATTACACAAGCTCAGCAGAAAGAGAGACCCTGTTTAACACACAGTGCCAAATCCTCAGCTGCTGTAAGTCAGTGTAGCTCCATTGGTCCCTCTGTCTTCTGAGGTCAGAAGTCTGGTTCAGCACTGGATTACTCTAATTTTATGCCAGTCTCATTCTATTTAAATCAGTGGAGTGACACAAGCATAGAACTGGATCAGCACAGTACTGAACCAGGCCCCAGAAGAGCAAGGAGGACACAACTTATGATAGAAAACTTAAGCAAATTAGTCTGATATTCCATAGCGCCATTACATGTACGTGATGCAATCTGTGTTTGGTTACAACATATTGGTATATATGAAAAGTTACCCTGAAATCTTCAATTCATGTTGGCCTTAAAAAGTAATTCCTAGGTGTTCATTATTCACCTGTAATGACATGAGTTGCTTTTCTCCAAGTTATTTTTCCCTAACAAGATTTGTTAGTACAAATGGGCTGATCCTCCGAGTCCACATCTGTAGCTACACCTGATCTGTCCACTACAGTAAAATCAGATAAAAAAGGTATGGAATTTGCATAATTTTCTGTGGGTAAAGAGTAGTGGACTATACAGAATGCCAGATTTAGTCTAAGCTTCTACATTAAACCATGAAGAGAAATACCCCTTCTAATGATCCAGCCCTAGTAGCAAGGAAATGAGATGAGAACTCTGATAGTTCTTAGGCACTGTTTAGCCAGCTAAGAGCATCACATTTAATCCATAGTATACAATATCTTTCTTAAAATGAATGGAAACATGACAACCTGTTTGAGTTTCTCTTTTTTGCAGGCTCTCACATTGTTGTCCCTGCAGATTCATTGTGGGCACAAATTAGCAAGTCATGATTGTTTGGGTTTGTTCGTCGTTAGCTGCCTAGCTACCTGTTTAACTCAGGTAGAAGTGATGCTTCCAGCTGCAGTTCATTGCTGATTAAACAAATACAGCTGCAGTTGTCTCCATATGATTATCTGGCTGTTAATCCCTGCCAAATACATCTATACATTTTGACTACATATAGTATGCCTAATTTGTTGAGATTAACTATTTTTCTTAGAAAAGCAATTTAAGCAGCTCCCTGATGTAAAGTAGGCAGAAACCCTCACAGCTGCTATATATCTAAGAGCTAGATTGTGCCTTTAAGATCAAATATATAGAAGTGAAAAGGTAAATTGCGTATCTTCCAACGGTCACAAAAGCAGAGCAATCTATCATTTGTGAAGACTTTTTTAGGTCTCTTATTGTGCATCTTCCCTACAATGTAAATCTAAATGAAAAGTACTATTATTTTTTATTAGAGAGAGAAGCTAAGTGAGGTAATAATCTTTTATTGAACCAACTTCTGTTGGTCAGAGAGACAAGCTTTCAAACTACATAGAGCTCTTTCAGGCCTGGAAAAGGTACTCAGAAGGCATGTCTACACAGGGATTAAAAAACCCATGGTTGGCCCCGTCAGCTGACTCAGGCTCATGGGACTTGGGCTCCAGAGCTAAAAAACTGTTGTGTAGACATTTGGGCTCAGGCTGATGCCTGAGTTGTGGGACCCTGCCAGGACTGAAAGTCTCAGATCTTGGGCTCCAGCGTGAGCCCGAATGTCTACACAGCAGTTTTTAGCCCCGCTGCCTGAACCCCCTGAGCCCAAGTCTGCTGACCTGGCCAGGCCATAGGAGTCACAGCTAAATTCAAGGTGGAACAGATTGTTTAGCATAAGTAAACACATATTTCAAGGGACCATTCAATGTGAAGTGGCCTGTTAACACCTCTCCAGTCATAGGGGAGAAAGGGGGGGGAAAAAGCTGTGGGTAGGGTAAATGGTTATAGGTTTATGGTTCATTACACCAATCTAGTATCTATTCGGTCCATGATGTCTAGTAGAGTTATGAATGTAAGCTCCCCTGCTTGTCTTTTGAAGGTGTTGTGCAGATTTCCTTTGAGGATGAGGACCAGCAGCTCAAACACTAGATGGGGATGGCTGAGTTACTGCAGAGAATTCTTTCCCATGGGTCTGGCTGGTGGGTCTTGCCGCATGCTCAGGGTCTAAGTGATTGCCATATTTGGGGTTGGGAAGGGATTTTTCCCCAGGTCAGATTGGTGGAGACTCTGTGGGGGGTTTCAACGTCCTCTGCGCATAGATCACTTGCAGGTTTGGTGTAAATGGTGGGTTCTCTGTAACATGAAGTCTTTAAATCATGATTTGAGGACTTTGGTAACTCAGCCAGAGGTTAGGGAGTCTATTACAGGAGTGGGTGGGTGAGACTCTGTGTCCTGCGATGTAGATAGTGATGGTCCCTTCTGGTCTTAATGTCTACGAGTCATTTTGTAAAAGGTAAGGACAGGTGACAGTGTTTGTCTTATTTTTTTCCTCTGTGAGTTCATTCAAGAGGGTAGTGATTATGTGGCTGAAACAAGACAGTTATTGAGGCATTTAGTGTGCTGGAAGAGATACAGTAGAAGTTAGAACCTCAGAGTTACAAACACCTGAGGTATGAACGGACACAACCTGATTTGGAACTGGAAGTATACAAGCAGGCAGCAGCAGCCACACAAAACCCCCAAAACCAAATACAGTACACTACTGTGTTAAACGCAAACTACTAAAAAAAATGGGGAAAGTGTTTTTTTTTTTTTAAAGGTTTGACAAGGTAAGGAAACTTTGTGCTTGTTTCATTTAAATTAACATTGTTAAAAGTAGCATTTTTCTTCTGCGTAGTGAAGTTTAAAAAGCTGTATTAAGTCTATGTTCAGCTGTAAACTTTTGAAAGAACAACCATAACGTTTAGTTCAGAGTTAAACCTTTCAGAGTTATGACTACCCTCCATTTCTGAGGTGTTTATAACTCAGAGGTTCTGTTGTACACCACATGCTTTGCTAGGCATGTGTAACACCCATGGATCTTAAAAGGTGTGGTGTGTGGGCTGTTGATCATCATAGCAGTGGAATTATGTCTACAGGTTTTGCAGCTATTGTTCTGGCAGGGTCTGGTGTTGCTTTGAGTTGGTATGTCCTGGTTTGTGGAGAATTTGCTTCTAATGATGAGCTTGGAAAGGTTTGGGGGGAAGATATGTGTTTGAAGGTCAGAAGTGGGGGTTTAGGAAAGATTTCTTTCAGGATGTGGTCCCATGGAATATGGGTTGTAGGTTGATGATCCTCTGTATCAGTTCAACCTTGGGATGTAGGTGACAATTTGGGGGTGGGCGGTCAGAGGGGGGTTTTATTTCTGTACTGAAGCAGGTTCTCTCAGTGTACTTGTAGGTTGCCTCATGGAACGGGCCACCCTTCTCTGTCAGGGTGTACAGACCAGACTACATATATTAACATTTATTATTTGTATTTCAGTAATAGCCAGGGGCTCCTCTTAGGGATCAAGTGTGGCAGATGCAGTACAAACATGGAGTAAAATTACAAGCCCTGCTTCAAAGAGCTTATAGTTAAAGGCCCAGATCCTACAATGAGCGGTTTCTGGGCAGACCTTCGCGAAGGAGTTGGTGGGTGAGATTCCGTAGCCTGCGTTGTGCAGGACGTCAGACTAGATGATCATAATGGTCCCTTCCGACCTTAAAGTCTATGATTCTATGAAGTCAGTGGGGATCTATGCACCCATAGGAGACTGACCACTCAGAGCTCATTGCAGGATCAGGCTCTGAGTCATAGGGGGAGTTAGGTACCCAACTTCTGTTGACTCCAGGAGTGCCCAACAGTTGACAGACAGACACAGATGGGAGGAGACAAAGATACTAACATATTTTTATGCCAACTACAAAATACAGCTCTCCTTATTTCCCATTACGACAGTTACCTTCTATGACATCAAAATGAAGTTTTCTGTCTTCTACAAAACTCAGAGTACTCCTGATTATGATGATGCAAACAACTTCGCTAAAAACTGGGTAAGTAGATTCCCCCCAATTAAATTGTGGATAAGTATCAGGAGACAAGGGCATCTGAAAGAACAATATGAACTCCCAGGGCACAGCACAGAGAATTGTTCAGTTAACAAAAGAAACAACATTATGGAGTTTCATAACCATGTTATCTGACAGACTTGTCATAAAGAAACACAGTGGGAGAGATAATATCTTTAATTGGACCAACTTCTGGTAGTGAAAGGGACAAGCTTTTGAGCTATCTAGAGCTCTTCTTCAGGTCTGGGAAAGGTAATCCTAGCATCACTACTAAATGGAAGGTAGAGCAGATTATTTAGCATAAGTAAATATTGTAAGGGACCATTCAAGGTAGAGTGGCCTGTCAAGACTTCTGCAGTCATAGGACAAAAAGAGGGGGTTAGTGGGTCACAGATTATTGAAATAAGACATAAACCTAGTGTTTCAGTTCAGTCTACGATCTGTAGTGTCTGGCAAAGTTACAAATTTAAGCTCCCAGGCTTATCTTTTGAAAGCATTGTGCAGGTTTCCTTTGAGGATGAGGACTGACTGATCAAGCTATATCTGGCCTCTCTGTGAAGAATGTTCAGAGGTTAGAATTAGAGTGGGTCAAAAACAGGATGAATTTTGACATTATTGCTTACATTTTTGCAAAAATGTTTACCCATTTTTCAAAAAACATTGGAACTATGAATTTACAAGCACCTCTAGTTAAAATATTGACCGATGAAGTGAGCTGTTGCTCACGAAAGCTTATGCTCAGATAAATTTGTTAGTCTCTAAGGTGCCACAAGTCCTCCTTTTCTTTTTAATGAGAAACTTGTTTCTTTTACAGTTTAATGCCAGATTTTCTGAAGGTGAATTTGTTGTGACAAATTATTATGTAAAAACTGCAGGCATGTAAGTACTTGACCATAGTGTGTTTATTTACTCCACAACCTAACCTAAACTTTGGGAGAGTTTGTAATCAAGACCCTACTGACATTTCACAAAGGACCTTTCTGCATAATGGGATCCAACCGTGACCTGTAGGAGACTCCAAACTTTGTATTTTGGACATACTTCACCTGTGTCCTGCGCAAGGCAGGCAGAAAGAACATTTTGAGCCAAATTGTGAACTCATTTGCACCCATGTAACTGGAGTCACAGGAACAAGTTCTGGTTTAAGATGGTGAAAGTGTTCATTGCATCTGGGGTTGTATGGATGTAAGTGAGGTTGGTCAGGATTTTGACCTATGAAAATTCAGAACCAGAGTGTGAGGTCACAGATCACCCACCATAGGCCAAATCTAATGTATCTAACTAGGTACTTATAGGGCTCATCACTGCAGTATTTGAGGCCCAGACCACGAAAGATATATAGGCCTACCTCCCATTGAAATAAATGGAAGTTAGGCACCAAATACCTTTGAGGATATAGGTCTGAGTGCCTGAAGTCTGCTGCAGGATTTACAGGCTCAAAACTCTATTAAAAACCATAATATTTCTGCACCAAACTCCCACATTGATCTTTAGAGCCAAACCCATGTATGTTTATATTTAATCTGTAGGCAGGTGAGAGAAGTGGGGTTGTTTAGCATTTGCTAGATTGATGGAAGTGTCACTTGTACAGACTTTGATGTATAGTTTTACCATTATGCACATTTTGACTTTCTACTTTCTCCTCCCTCATCACTTGAATGATGGAGGTTGTGGATGGCAACAATAAAATAAGACATTGCATGGTTTACATGAAGCATGTCAGATTCTGAAAATCTTAAGGGGAAAAATAGAAACTGTGAAATAGAGACAGGGAAAGGGGGATTAAAAATGACAACTACTGGATCTGCTGTAACCATATGCAAAATGCATTAGTTAAATGGCTCTTAGGAATTAAGGGGTTAAAATTTTTTAAAGTGGGAGCGAAGGGCTTCTAGACTATAGGATGAGAAACTGGCAGCTTATATTGTACCCTTAGTCGTCTTTCCTTCTGAGCTAATTAGCCCTAAAAAGCAAGACACTGATAGGAAAAATGACATGGCTAGAATGAACAACTGTACAGGATTTAAAATTGGTTTGGGACTTGGGAGGACACTATTGTAAGGAACTGGCTCAAGTGTGCAACTTCTGAATCATGCCATGAGCCCAATGCTATTAATAGGTTCTTAACAACTCCAGTTGTAAGGGCAGGACCATGTGAAGTCCATTGCTGATGTAACCCTGAGAGGCAACTGGGAGCAGTGTGGTGACATCAGTGATTATTCATGGTGGACCACAGATTTGTTACAGTATGAAATATTCCTGAAGATAGAATGGGGCTGATTTTGTACCAAGGAAGTCAATGGTGAAGTTCCTACTGACTTCAGTGGCCCAAGGTCAGGCTCATTATCAGCTATGGGACAATTTCTTTAGCAGATTTTTTAAAATATCTATATCTAATCTATATGCTAAGAAAACACTTATTCTGATCTGTTTTAGATACAGGAATAATTCTCCAGGAGGAAGTGTCCAGAGGAGAGCCGATGTACGTATTATAAGACACAAACTCTACCTGTGTTGAGTTCTTCTCCTAGGATAACCAAGAAATCATTTTTCCTCTTACCTTTTGCTTATACAACATTTTAGTTGCATTCTGAAAGGTAGAAACACAGACACTATACATTAAAATGTAGTGTGACTACTCCGCGTAGGGATGGTAGAACCTCTAAAGATCAGCTCCAACCATTTTGCAAAATACCTGCTAGCCTTCTGGGGAAAGCCCGGCAGGCTACAGTGTGATTTTACACTCTAGGTATCCCTGCCTGATTTCCATATCAAGGCCAGGGGTTCAAGTGCCCATGGAGGGAGTTAGAAGTGAGACAAGCAAGCTGAGTTTGGGACTTGTTAGTGATATTTGACTGTAAACACAGCATGTGATTGCACCTCACACATTCCAGAGTAACAGCCGTGTTAGTCTGTATTCACAAAAAGAAAAGGAGTACTGGTGGCACCTTAGAGACTAACCAATTTATTTGAGCATATGCTTTCGTGAGCTACAGCTCACTTCACAGTATGCATCCGATGAAGTGAGCTGTAGCTCACGAAAGCTTATGCTCAAATAAATTGGTTAGTCTCTAAGGTGCCAAAAGTACCCTTTTTTTTAACCTCACACATCGTTATTTTGTGGTTAGTAACCATGACAACAACAGTATTTTGCTCCAGCAGGGGCTTAGGCTGGCACAGCACTGTCCTCCTGCATCTGGTTCAACAAACTGTTTTTCCTGCTGCATTGATAGGACTCCTACCCACGCTTGGGTCCAGTCCTTCCACCTATCTTTGCAGTAAGACATCCCAGAGTGCATTGGCCCATGAGTTGTTGGTGCTGCTATCCAGCATGTCTTCCCTCTGCTGAAGTCCTATCGGATGGCTGCTCAGATTTTCCCAGAATGCACTGGTGCGAAGAGGAGTAGGCAGAGTGGGAGGGCTTGACCTGAGGACATGGATGTGGTTTGTGTGCGCACACAAACAAAACCATGTGACTTGTGACCAGGACTCTAAACAGTAACAGTTCTCGTTGGAGCAGGCATGAGGTTTTATTCACAGTGTGTTGTTTTTCAAAAGCCCCTTTTCCTCCTCTCTCTTTCTGGCTGGTTGCAAGGTGCCATTCCTACTCTGACTCCGATCCATAGCTGAGCCAGTCTTCTGTCCCCGTTTGCAGCCTCACATCAGCAGCAACTAGCTGCCATGCCTTATTTTTATTGTAATCTTAATATAATGCACCATTAAAACTACTGCAAAATGCAAACTTGTACATGAATAGTCAAATATGGACATTTAAAGCATTGAGCGTGTTAGTAGCTACTGTTCACTTTCATTGAAAACCATTATAGTTACATTAAAGCCAGTTGCATTATTCTAACCTTATTCTTGTTTTGTTCTGTATTTTGTGAACTGAAGATGGAGGAAAAGCAGAATTCACAAAGGTAGGATATGTGTTTACAAATTGTATTGGTAGAATTTAGATTTAAGCACATAATGAAATCAATTCCCTCCTTCACTTTTACACAGTATATTGGTGCTGATTCAATAATAGGATGATCAAGGTACTTACTAATTATAGGGGGTTAAGTTCCTTAAAATATTACTTTTGTAACGAAGTAGAGCAAGACATTTCAGAATGATGAGGATACTTAACATAAGACAGTGGAACCTATACAAGAAACCATCCTTAAGACACACCCCAAAGAATCTCCTGACATACTGAGAATAGTTCTGCTCCCTGTGTAGAAAAAACAAGGAGTGATTGCTCAAGAGATGTTTCAATGCTGTACCATGCTTTGTACACTACTGGGCCTGTACAAGAAGAAACTGCAGTCAATACTCTCCCAGCTGAGGCTGTAATAGCCAGGTTTGGTCTGAGTAATGCTCTTATTCTCCACTCAGCATGTTTGGTGGCAATACTCCCTCACATGGTATGACTAGGCCCTCTGCTAAAGAGGCCACAGGAGGCTTAACTTTGGCAGAGTAACGAAGGCCTTAGAGACAAGTAGGTCTTGCTGGGGAAATGCTCACTCCATTTGAAACATACACAAACCAGTGGAGGAAGAATTGTACAATTCTTGAACTTTTGAGGGAAACACACACACAAAAACTCTTTGGTTTGTGGGTTTTTTTGGGGGGGAATGGAAGATGGTTACTTTGGTGTTTAATTTTCTAAAAATATGAGCACCTGTGATGTCACACCCCATCTATACTTAATTCTGGAAAGCTAAATTGAGGGCCTGAGGTACCTCACTCAAATCCCCAGCTTTAGAAATTTCTCCTTCTCTGTAGAGGATTAGGAGGAGAGATGCTCTCAGGAGAGGTTAAGACTTTATGTTGCCCCTTTAAGATAAGGCAGTGAGCAATACCCTTTGCCAGCCCCTGGGCCAACCCCTGAGGGAAAGGGAGAGGGGCCCTCTGAGGGGGAGAGCACATTAGCAGGAGATTGAAAGGATAGTCTTCAGGAAAAGAGTAGCTAATTCTTGACCTCTTGTGGGACCCAGACACTGGAAGAGGAAAAGCATCCGAAACACTTCAGCCCATGGTCCCTGCTGTAAGGTCAGGGCTGAGTGGGGACTGAGCACACAAGTCGGTGACCCAGAGCCACTGCAGCTAAATGGCTCATTGGGAGAAAGAGGTCACAAGAGCTGGCACCCTTTGTGGCAGCTGAGGCCTTGCAAGTAAGAGAGCTTGTGAGAGAGAAGGTTGGTTTGCAGCTTTCTCAGCCATCTTAGCATAGACCTCTCCAGTGGGTTGGTTCAGAGCAGGAACTGCTTCTTCCAGGTTGCTACAAGATCCCACTCCTGTCTTTCCTGGAGATTCAGGAAGCTCCTGCAAAATTTTCCTGCTTGTTCTGCAAACCATGGAGATGGGGTGGTAGGCACTGTCACTGGCCTGGTCTCAGTGAAGGATCTGCTCAACTGTCTCAGCATAGATCCCACCCACTCAGCACTCAGTAGTCAGGTTTCAGTATGGGCTATTTGATTCTCTCAGCATGGACCTCTTCCACACACTGACTGGGAGCTGGGTCCTGCAGCCGCTCTGTCTGCCCTTTCTGAGGGGTGAGGGAAGGAGAGGTGCTGTCCTGTAAACTATCCTCAGAAAGCCACAAGAATGGTATTGTTTTATTTATTGAGTTTAGCTGTTTTGAGGAGAAAACACTCTAAAGGGAGCAATGGAACCAGCTACATGTGCTGCTTGGAGGCAGAGAATTCTGGGCAGTGCTTTGAGGGCTGGTCCTATGCCCAGCCTCAGAGCTAAATTCTGGTCTGGCTCTAGGTGCCAGGGAAATTGGGAATGCCTGGGGTGAAGCAGCATATCCTGGCAGCACACATCATATCCAGGCTTTACAGTTTTGTTCAATGGCTTTTGGCACACTCCCGTCCCCATACAAATCATTTCAACGCCACAGGGAATGCCCCACTCTGAAGGCTGACAATGTAAAGTTCTATGGATTCTGCTTACAGTTAGACTTTAGAGTAATTACATGGTTAGCTTATTCCATATTCTGAACAACTGCTCAAACATTGCCTGGTTGGGATGTAGCAAAGAAGAGTGTACGATAAAGTTAGAGACTCATGCTCACAGTTTCACAAGAAACTGAAATTTGGGGCCAGATTCTCATGCCACAAGGAGTACCTCACGCCAGAATCAGGCCCTTGTTTCAATGGTAAGCTACTACTCAGCATAAAGTACTAGTATCAGTATCTGGTCATTACTGTAGCATTGTAAACACAGTAGGCAATGAAATTATGCAGTTCAATATAATGTTGAGTGTTAATGATTGTTACAGGATAGCCTGATGGTAAAAATGTATCATTGTTTGTGTGTTCTATTTGTAGCTATGCCTTCAAAGCCATCATAAAAGCCACATCCACTCAGTCACAAGAATGCTTGATTATTATGATAAAACAGTAGCAGGTGAAGTATGAAGCGGGGCCCTTGTCCGTATCCGTGGAACCTGAAGATGTGATTGTCAGTGCAATTGGTAATATTTTATATATTAAGTTCTAATATTTGTTGCCAGACTTAAAAAACATGAGTTTCATGAAGGCTGGCCCAAACTCAAAATCGGTATAGAGTCAGATTCCAAGGACAGAAGCGACTTATGATCAAACCTGACGTCATGCATGAATCAGGCCATAGAATTTTACCTAATGATTCTTGCATCAAGACCAATAACTTACAGCTTAACTAGAAGATTTCTCTCAAAGATATCCAGGCTTGATGTAAAGACTCCAGGGGATGGAAAATTTATCACTCACAGCCCTTAGTAATCTGTTCCAATGGTTACTTACAGAAAATGAGGTATACATGGCTTCGACATCACTTAAGTCACCTGCTTACCCTGTGTCTGAATCTGGCCTGTTATATTTTACTATGCACTCTACTTCTGGACAAGTGGAGACAGACCTAAACTAGAGTCCTGGGTCTGGACATTTCTGAAATGCAGGAAAAGTGCATATGTGGTATGGCTCCAAGCATGGCAGCTCAGATCCTTTGCTAGAAACAAATCTCCTGATTGCTGGAGCTAGTGCTGATGCAAAAAATCAAGTCCCAAAACACACCACAGAAGGCAAAGCCCTTAGCATCACTAAGAGAAGGTTCCCCGTCTCCCCAGTTCCATTCTGCATCTCATGAAAATACACTGTTTAGAGGTGGAAAGAACTGGAGGTTGTACCACAACATGATTCAATACTAAAAATCCTGGTTTGTGGATTTCATTTGAGTTCTCCATGATGTGCTTAACTCTTGCTGTATAGTGACTGAATGACCATATCTAATGTAGTGGGATTTTTTGGGTTTTTTTTTGTTTGCTTTTAAAGAAGAGAGGAATGGTGATAGCACAGCACTGGGAACCAGGATCCCCGACTGTTACTATCTGGGTGACCTTGAGCAAGACACCGATTCTTTGTGATAAATTTACCTGTACCTCTTTGCCGGCTATTACACCATGTATCTTAAGGAAGCTTATAAAAATAAATGAATTCACTCATTGTCAGCTATAACTGCCCTCTTTATAAATCACCTCCTGCATACATGTTGTTCTAGGTCACAGTTTTTATGATGATTGCCAAACTTATCTGTAGATAAGTTTAAAGCAGAAAATAATATTTGATCCCCAGAGATCTGATCCAAAGCCATTGAAGCCAGTGACAGACCATGGGTCTCTACTGATGTCTCTATTGATGGTACTGGAACAGGCCCACATTTATTTGATTTGTTTTATTGACTTGGATATACTCCCTGTCAACCTTTAAAAAAAATACAGAAGTAGGCAAGAGATAAGCAAGGAACATAATGTACTGTATTTAAAAAAAACACACATTTGACACCATTCATAAACAAGACTAATACACAAGAGGAGTTACAGGGAAAGCAGTCCTTGTGGAAAAGGCACTGATTAGGTAATGAACAGCCACCTACTTTGGTAAAAAATTATGGGTCAGGTAAGGGAAAAGTAATGAGCAAAGTAACCCTATTATTGATTCCTGTGGTAACTTCACCCTTCACATGGCAGAGGGCACATTGAAAGGGGAAGTAAATAAGGAAGTGTTATTTACTCTCTCATAAACACAAGAACTAGGGGTCACCAAATGAAATTAATAAGCAGCAGGTTTAAAAAAAACACAAACAAAAGGAAATATTTCTTCACACAATGCACAGTCAACCTGTGGAACTCTTTGCCAGAGGATGTTGTGAAGACAAAGACTAACAGGGTTAAAACACACACAAACCCTGAACTAGATAAATTCATGGAGGACAGTTCCATTAATGGCTATTAAACAGGAAGGGCAGGGATGGTGCCTGTGTTTGCCAGAAACTGGGAATGGGCATCTGAGATCACTTGATTACCTGTTCTGTTCATTCCTTCAGGGGCACCTGGCATTAGCCATTGTCGGAAGACAGGATACTGGGCTAGATGGACCTTTGGTCTGACCCAGTATGGCCATTCTTATGTTTTTAACCCAGCACCTGCCCTGAGAAAAAAGTCTCAGGGGAAACAGAAGGCAAACGAAAATTTAGGCAGAACTTTCTTATATCAAGACAACAGGAGAGGCAAACGTTATAGCTTTGTTCCAGCGAGAAAATATCCAGATTTTTAATGGGTCCTAGTTAAGCTGGAAGCCAGTGAAGACTCCCTTTTACCTCCAAAGCTGGAGCCGTCGAAGTCCCCGCGACCACTTCGTTGCGTGAAGACGAGGAATAGAAGAATTGGAGGTGGACCCACTTCACTGCCTTCAGCCCCCCCCGGCCCCGGGGTCCCTTGGCATGCAGTACTCGGTCTGTGGAACCGGCACCGATGAAGAATTCTGCATCGCAGTCGGTGCCGGGACAGATAAAACCGGTGGGACCAAGACTGTCGAGGTCGGTAGGGACGGAGCTGAGGCTTCCGCCGGTGCCGGGGTTGGCTGAGGCTTTGGTGCCGAAACCATGTGAGTGGACGGGGCCACTCTGGTCGAGGGCGGTGCCGTCATCGGTGGTGCCGGCGCTGACTGTGGCACAAATGATGCCGAGGACACAGACGCCATTCTGGAGCGTGGACCACGGACTTGACCCTGGCTCTGATGGTACACCCAGGGTGTGCAGAAGGGCCATGAAGCAGGTGGTTGCCACTGTTGTTGCCACAGTGCTGGGTATGGTTGGTGACTGCACCGGGACTGGGATTGTCTGCTGTGCGATCTGCTAGATCGAGCCGAGTCTACCTCTGACTCCGAGCTCTCCGAATAAGACGACCAAGGAGGAGCAGTCCCCTGGGTTGCCAGTGAACTACGACTCGACTCCGGGGAGCGGCACGCTTCCTGCGTCTGTGTGGGCGGTGCCGGAGATGGAGACAGATGAGCCATCATGGTTGGCTTGCCCCTGGAGTGAAACAGAGGCCGTGCGGTCGCCCGAGATTCTTCCCTCCCTTGAGGGGAGGACGGCACCGGGAGACGCATCAGGTCCGTTGCCACCTCAAATGCCTCTGGCGTTGATGGTGGTTGTATGTCCACCAGATGGGGACTGAGGAGGGTTCGGACTTGACTGGACCCGAGCTGGGGCAGGAGTCGACGAGACCCTGGGTGGAAGCGAGGTGGATGCAGTCTGTGCCGAGCCACTTGCGGACAGCACCAGCCCCTAAGGCTTCGGGGGGGGGGTGACTGGTCCCTCGCCAGCCTCTTCTTTACTGGCACCAGAGATGGAGAATGGTGCCAAACTGATGCCGACGCCCTATGAATAGCGGCGGTGCCGGTGGGCTTTTGAGTCCTTAGTCTGTCCCATTTTGCACACCGTTGGCGCCGGAGCACTGCGCACCGAAGAGGACGTGCTCAGTGCTGGGTCGCTGGGTCCCGTGTTGGATTGCAGTCTCAGAGCCGCCTCCATGAGCGGGAGTTTCAGTCTCTGCTCTCTGTCCTTAAGGGTTCTTGGGCGGAAACCCTTGCAAATGCAGCACTTGTCCTTTTGGTGAGTCTCATCAAGTCACCACAGGCAGGACAAGTGAGGATCACACTTGGGCATAAACTTGCCACAGGACACTCAGAGTTTAACCCCCGGAGACCTGGGCATACCCCCGGAGGGGAAACTAACTATCTACCAAACACTGCTAACTATGTGATAAGTACAACTATAGAGAAAAAACTATTTACAGTAAGAGCAAAGACACTGCTAAGGCGCTTGCTGCAAGAGCGAGCAAAGTTCCAGCTAGCCGTCACGGGCGGTAAGAAGGAACTGAAGGGATTGGGGGGGGGGGTGTCAGTGGAGCCCGATATTGGACGCCCAGCCCGACCCTACCGACACTGCTTGGGGAAAAATCTTCCGGCTGGCGTGCATGTGGCATGCACACACCTGCTTGGAATGGACATGAACAATCACTTGAAGAAGAACTGCATTTCTCTCTCCTGGAAACACAACCTGAGATTCGCAGACTTTGTGCTAAAGGAGTGAGTTTGTTGACACCTGATATATTTCTCTTTTTAAAAGCACTAATTTCACACTAGGCTGGAAGCACTATGTGCATTAATGAGAGAAGAACAAACCTCAGCTCCCAAGGTTCAAAGTCTCCATGGTACAGGCAGACTCATCCTGTATGTCATTCATAAAGCATGAACTCAACCTAGCTCCATATGGGTCTCGAAGGCCTCCAGCTCAGTAAACCATCATAGCTGGGCACCATGTTACCCTGGGGCATAGGGGGATGAGGACTAAGCAACTTTGAATGGAGCAGAGGAGGGCTCCATACCAGCTCCCCATTGATCAGCACAGGGGTGGGGGTTGGGGGCATAGCCAGTGGGTTCATGATTACACACAAAATGGCTACAAACCAAGTTGTCATAAATATGAAGGGAAGGGTAAACACCTTTAAATTCCTCCTGGCCAGAGGAAAAACCCTTTCACCTGTAAAGGGTTAAGAAGCTAAGATAACCTCGCTGGCACCTGACCAAAATGACCAATGAGGAGACAAGATACTTTCAAAAGCTGGGGGAAGGGAAAAACAAAGCCTCTCTCTCTCTCTGTCTGGGTGATGCTTTTGCCAGGGACAGAACAGGAATGGAATCTTAGAACAGGAATGGAGTCTTAGAACTTAGTAAATAATCTAGCTAGATATGCGTTAGATTCTGATTCCTTTAAATGGCTGAGAAAATTAAGCTGTGCTGAATGGAATGTAGATTCCTGTTTGTGTCTTTTTGTAACTTAAGGTTTTGCCTAGAGGGATTCTCTATGTTTTGAATCTGATTACCCTGTAAGGTATTTACCATCCTGATTTTACAGAGGTGATTCTTTTTACTTTTTCTTCTATTAAAATTCTTTAAGAATCTGATTGCTTTTTTCATTGTTCTTAAGATCCAAGGGTTTGCGTCTGTGTTCACCTATGCAAATTGGTGAGGATTTTTATCAAGCCTTCCCCAGGAAAGGGGGTGCAGTGCTTGGGGGGATATTTTGGGTGGGGGAGACGTTTCCAAGTGGGCACTTCCCCTGTTCTTTGTGTAACACTTCGGTGGTGGCAGCTTTTAACCTAAGCTGGTAAGAATAAGCTTAGGGAGTCTTTCATGCAGGTCCCCACATCTGTACCCTAGAGTTCAGGGTGGGGGAGGAACCTTGACACAAGTGGGGTGGCTCCTGTTCTACTGAGGAAGCCTGTTCCTGTGACTGGAAGAGCAGTTGTGGAGGAGCTGCCTTGTGTCAGGTCCACTGGCTGGGGTGGGGGGTTCTGTGCCCTTCAGCCCCTTGCGTACTTCCCCCATGCACCAGTATCTTTTTGTGGGGAGGTAGGTAAGATCTGTGTGTACAGGACCTGCCAGAGTAGCATTTTCCATAGGGGTTAAATAAGAGGAGGTGGGGGGAGAAAAGGGAAGAGAGCACAAAACCCAGGGGATATAGTTTTCCATTGCACAGAGCTAAAAAACTCAGAAGTGTGTTTGATCTTTCACCTTAAGCATTAAATGAGTGGCATCGATTTAAATGAAGAACAGGTTCCACAAGACACTAATGAAAAAGATGAAAGATGGCAGAAGTGAGTTTTAGCACTGGACTAGTAATCAGGATTTTCCAGTGTTAATCAATACAAATGCAGTTAGAAAGGATCAAATGCAATAAGAAACAAAGCACAGATAGCTTGAGGTTTATGTGCTGGCCAACATGCATGCAGTTTAGTTCGCAAGTGTATCTGAAGTTAGAGCTGCTTGCACTCTAGTAACAATGGACTGAGAGTGAAACTATTTTATTTGCACTAGGATTACTACATAAATTAACAGTTTCTGGAGCACATCTAGTGATTGCATCTTTTAACTATAATTGTGAAAAAAGTGTGTGTTATGGACCTGGGGCCAGATCAATGCACATTTACACCATCTATAACAGTCTTTTCAGCTACCGAATCAGTTTAACAAGCTGAGCATCTCTTAAGACCAGATAAGCACTTCAGCTCTGCTATATTGCAAAACATTAAGTCACCTCTATGTTTTTTAATCTATTCCAGAAAAATGCAGAGGATGTTGCAGAACACCTTTTAAATCTGATGATAAACTT